GGTGGGCGGAGAAAACAGCTGACACGACTAGCTCGAATACATCTCCCCTGTACGAGCTTCCCAGACAACAATATAACGGCACGTGACATGCATGCTTAAACTGTGGTTAACTGGAGTTCCTGGTTAGCTCGTTTGATGCGTTTTGTCTGAACGTTTGGGTTAAGAGGACGCCCATGTTCAAATGTGTCTGCTGGCCGTTATTGGTAAGCGTCACATTAGCAGTAGACTTCGGCTACAGCTTGGCCCTGTGAATACAACTTTATTTGGCTTGATATTTTTTGTGAAATCGAAATATTTGCAGGTGTTTTACCACTGTATTTATCACAAAATCCACTTTCCTTACATGAAAATGTTCTCTGAGATTAGCATTCGGATAGTACTGTGGAACAGAAGGCCTGCCTAGTGATAGGGAAACCAATCACGAATAAATGGGCTGACAATTAGTTCACCTCTCGAGTAGACACAAAATATCCATACTGTATAGCTGGAGTACTGGTCATTGCAGTTGTGAGGGTCTTTAGCATTACATGGAGAGAGTTGTTTGAAAAATTTCGACATGGTGCATTCTATTAGGTTCAGTAAGAAAGATTTGAGGAGCCACCCTTTATCCTCTGTATACCATGCTTCCGATTATCCGGATCAAGTAGTCGTGGTGACAATAATGCATAGGCTCTTTCCAGGCAACAGGAAGGTTATATTGTAACTCGTTTGTTCCATCTATAGAAAAATTATGAAAGCAAAACGAATATCGTGCCAACTGAAACATGAGGCGGCCTGTGTGCAGCATATTCAGTTGTAGAATATCATAAAAGGGCGATTCAGCTGGGTCTCTCGTGAAAACCAAATTGATTTGCAAATGAGTGTATTTCTCGGAAACAGTCCAATTAGGGTTCAAGTAGAACATAAGGTTGACGGAAACTCGGGGACTGCGCCTACCTGATGAGCCCCAAGAAGGACGAAACCCGTCATGGGCTGTCGAAGAGTTTTCAGAAACCTTGTGAGTAGGTTCCTTTATGAAAACGAATAATAGTTTTACTCTAAAGTTAGGAAAATTCTGCTCCAATACCGTTGTTGAATCGAAGATTTACCAGCACAATATCCGTTCCCAAGGAAGTCACATGGATTCACGGTTGTCTGGAACAGTCTGCTGGATAAACTATGATGGAATAACGCAGTGCTATGTATCGAAGATTATTGCGCGACCGTGTGTGGTCGTTTCTTGGAAGCGAAAGAAAACGGGAAAGCAAAGCCAACCAGGCAGCTACAATAATAACGTTGTCTTGATTTTTCGAAGATATGTGCCCACGTGTATGATTAGGAGTTAACATGATCTGCTTATGCAACTGATTTTAATAGGAAATCTATGAGGGTGTCTATGTCTGGGAAGAACAAAGGCTAATAAAAGTAGACGGGTTAAATAAGCAAGGGACAAATGAGATACGGTGATCCATACCTCANTAAGCAAGGGACAAATGAGATACGGTGATCCATACCTCAAATCAATGTCTCAAAAAGACCGTCATTGTAGTCTTAGATAAAACAGTTTTAAAATAGAAGCCTTCTCACTACTAATAGTCTGTCAGTTAAAGTTGATTATAAGATTAGTAGCTGATTAGATCAAGAAGCAAACCCAGTTTGAACTATGCAGTTAAACGAACAGGTTGAAAGGCTTCCGGTTCAATGAAGACATCTCAAGACCGTCATCCAAAGATCACGTAACTTTTCCTTCTGTCTCCCTATATGATGAATTCTCTGTACCTGAGGTTTTCGGGGATTGACAAGCTACTGATTGTGAAGTAAAACATCCTAGTCATTTGCGTTGATTAATACTTCTTCCGTCTCGTTTGAGGTTGCAATATTCCTATTATTTGTCAGTGTTTTTCTCCAGTTGATTGAAGTAAAACTCTTGTAGTCCCTGAGGCTGACATCTGATACTTGTCACAAACTGATCAGAAACCTTCAACCCCACTAACCGACAGCGACGTAGCAAGTAAAAGCATGAGCGGTCCCATGACCTCTTCAAGAAGCACATGATCTCACGAGGTTGGCACCAGCTTGTTGATTTCTCAAAAATGCTAAACAATATTTGACACCCATCTGGCTTTCCAGTCGATCAACTGGGGAACACTTTGCAACGGAATGATGAAAGCCGATATGCAGTTGTAGTCACGGCCCAGGTCGTGATTTCCCGATCCTACGGCTGGCCTTTCGATGTGCACTTCAATATTTTCATCAACAATCTGGGTTCCATCAAGAACTTTGGTAGATGCATGTTGCATTATATTGTGCGCACCTGCCAAGGGCACTGTTTTGATAAGTCATCTGGAGGTAGTGCACTGTCCTACGGCACCTGAAAGAACTGACAGATGGTGTGTAAATAAACTAATGCTGGCTCTAGGTGATATGGCATCATACTTGGGTTGCCTGTTGGCTTTCAGCAGGTTTCTGTGAGTTTGGTCACCATCGGCCGCTTGTACGTAGCAGAGCATTGGTTGTTTACCTTTTGTGTGCCCAGTAGATCAACCTCTGTTGACCGGCACGCACCCTTCAGATGTCGGTCAATCATCAGAGCTACTTACCCGGATTGCTGTTGACCAAAAGTCTCTTAAAATTTTCGATATATTTTTTCCGCATGTGGCAAAAGTGAACAGTTTTGATGAAATTGGCCATAGCTCCTTCTTTGCCTGTGCATGTCACAAGAGGAGTAGCAATGGTGCAACTCTCTCATGAAACCAAAAAGGCACTGCTAACGCATATAGACCGGTTTTTGTGCAATCTACGCTCATCATCAACCGTAACAGTCCTAAGTATAGTTCCCGTTTTATTGCTGTAGTCAGCAAACCACCTAAACAAGCGAGTGACGTGGAATACAGTGTAACTGCTACTTCTCGTTTTTAACATACCGATGTTTTAGCACTCTAGAGGCTGATAGTTATATCAGCAGGGGTCCTGTCAGAGGGCTACGATTTACTGTTTGGTCCAGAAGTACGGTGCACCAAAATTCCACACCATCGCTTGTCAGTCAACTAACCTCTAAACTGTTGAAGATCTGTTCTGTAATACTGCGTTACGGGATATCTCCGTCGAAGGCGAACCAATCACTATGAACAAATCCGGTGAATTAATATCAGCTAATGACGCACGGAACCTCAGTCGAAAACCTTACCCTCACTACTCATTAGGCATTCATAACAACTTAACTGTTTCAAGTGATATGCTATTAGTTTGGTCATGTTATGGTTGTGAAATATATTGGCAGGTATTTCACTCAGACTTTTCTTGTATGGCCCCCAAAATTTGCCTCATTCCAGTAGTTTTCGGATAAAGTAATACTTGGTGCTCTACATGCTATGAAGTGTTTTCCATAACATATTTTACTAAACGTAATTATGAAGGGATGGGATAAGTTTCAACATCATCATCATCAAGGACAGCAACATCAGTGTTGACACTGATGCTTCACTGCCGTGGAACCATGAGTTTATCCTAGTGTATTTAAAGCCTTGAAATCAAAAGTAGGGAAAGTTGGGTGAGAAAGGGAACTTGATACAGGAATATATCAACCTCCGAACGTCCAGTCAGAAATGTGGAAAGAAACTGACAACACGAGCACCACTAAAGCCACCGTTTCTCGCAATGCCTCTAGCCTGGCTCAGGATGGGTCACGAGGACCCCATTCTGAAAGGCGGACGGCAACAGTAGCACTCAAACTCTTTCATGCCCTTCTGCTAATGTATACGTTGTCCGCGTCGCACTTTTCCGCCATTCTAAAGGAGACAAAGAAAACAACACCCGTTTGGACAGATGCTGTTGGAGTATGCGTTGCATATTGTCGAGCCACCGTACTTGATGGAGTTGGGTGTTTTCCGAGATTGCATTACCCGCTGGAAAGCGCAATACCCGTTTCCTAATCGCCTTGTGATAAATTCCATGACGCATACGAGATCAACAAAACTTCCAAAGTATCGGTGATCAAAAACCTGAAGACTTTATGCCATGTGTACACGGAGGCCATGTTTTGCAACCATACAACAATTCAGACCTTACTGTAGCCCGGTACACTCCACCCTTGAGACCAAATGATATATCTTTTTGACACTGTAAGTGATGCAACTTAACACAAGGGAGTGTGGCCTTGGAGATTCGTTCAATCACCTCAGCTAAAACTCATCTGTATCATCAAGCGAGTAGTCGCTGCGTAGTACGGCTTAATAATTTATCGGTTCCGGATTTCTTCCATGGTCAATGGCTTGTAACAATCCTGACTCATTGTCCTGATATATTCATATTTCGCAACGGATCATACCAGCAATCCTATAAATGGTTGATTGAAGGCAAATTTCTCGATTTAATGCATACCTTTCCGGCTGAACTACAATTCAGTCTCTGAGTAGTCGAAGAATATTATAGGCTGGAGATTCGGTTCGGATGCTCGTCGCTCGTCAAACCCATCTTAATTTGTACACGGATATTCATCCCATCTCATGATATATTTTTCAAACTTTTCCACATCTGATCATTTCCTTTTACGTTTCGGCCTTGATGTCCAGCCAAATGCAGTCTTATGAGAATATATGATATGCGTTTAATAATTCCCAGGGAAAGTTAGAGTTTTCGAAAACGGAAAACGGGTTTCGTTCGACCCACTGCCAATAGCAGCGATTCTATCCCAAGATCCATTTGCTGCACTGCCATTTTAGGTAGGCTATTATTAATTGCTACCGCATTTGTGACGCTGATTGGGAAAACCACATGATCGTACTAGTTTTTAGCCAACCTGTATCAACTTTCATACAGCCATCACGCGACACATCCGTCCATACGTAGCCGACTTGAATTGGCACATTTGAAGGTCAGTTGAAAATTGATTGAACCAATCGGCTGCAAGTTGATTACGATTCGCTGATCGGTAATTGACTGTGACTGCTGTCAGCTGGTTCCTTGATTTAAGCTGTTAAAAATTTACGTTCATTATTTAGATAATTACATGCTACCACTCACTGAACGCTAGTTATTGGGATTCTTACTATCGAATGTAAGTGTACGTTAATTTAGCGAACGTTTTATTAAAACGGTAGGAGTGTATCTCTATATTTCCCCTAAAAGAGACATGATTGAAACCTTCCCCTTAGCGGTTGATGTTCCCAAAAACTTTTTCTGTTTAGAGTTATGTCTTCTTGGGTTTATTTATATGCTGCATTTAGACCAGAAGCGTGCATCTCGCGCTCGGGTGTGCCTCATGATATAAGGTAGAAGCCGCAAAGACTGCACTTTTACTGGTATTAAATATGAAGACGTGTTTCCTAAAAGTGCATTGCAAGCTGAAGTACGAATATGTATAGTTATTCAAGGAGCGATTTTCAAAGTATTTATTATTAAAGCGTTTTTTGTATACTCACAGTTTGGCGTCAGTAATGATGTTTATTCTTTTGCGAATGTAGGATAGTAGGGGGCTTCCAATGAACCTTTTTCAAACTGATATTTGAAATCACCAATGTGTATGTTGTACACGTACGTATCTTTGGATGTAAACAAAAGGATGGTCCAGTAACAATGAATTATACTGCTTAACCGATGACCAGGAGAATGAATAAACAGAATGACAATTGGTTGAGTGCGTTCTAAAGTTTCAATGAAGTAATTACTTGTGATGGGGGTTTTTAGTACGCACACTTCGAAACAATTAGTGAAAACCGTATGGAGATCCTGTGGTTTCTTTGGAGTTTACAGAACTGCGAATAACTGGCTTTTTTCCACGTCCATTTCAACTGTTACAAGAGGCCTTGGTCGACTGATACAAGTGCGCTACTCCATTTCTTCAATTCATCTGTTAATGCCATCGTAAGTTACCCAAAGGCTATAAAACCGAGAGATTCCTTGGCATTTTTGGCACATACGTTTTGGCTCTTCACATTCAGTCACCTGGACAACATCTTCAAAGTTCCAAATAATGAACATTCCCTAGTTGCGTGATACATGATAAAATATCAGGTGCAGGGATTTTAAAACTAAGGTTAAAAGTGATAAAAACGTGCACTGAACCTGGCTGCCTAAACGGTAGCTGTCCGTTAGATCAAAGCAAAGTCATGTGTGCGATTCCCTATCAGTGAAGTGGAAAGATAGAACACTAAAGTATCCAAATTTTGTGCCCTGATATCAGGAGTTCAAACTCCTAACAAAAACCTTCATTCTATTTTCGGTCTTTCGCCAGCTTGATTTTTTGGCATCGCATTTATTAGTGATTATTCTAAAATTGGGATCAGTTCAGCTACACACTGAGTGCGTGGAAAAATCGATACATTAACTTAGTTCTTAATCATTTGCGTTTTTTATCTCAACGGCAAACTGATGCTACTGACTCAAGCCTGACCAGCTTGAACTTTTCCTCAAATAAACCACTTTGGTGATGTTATATGTATAGACTTTGAGAGGCCGTGGTAGATTCGGATTGTGGAAGTATTTTATGAACAAAAAAATGAACAAAAAAATTGGGTTTTGAATGGTGTCTAACCGGAATCACCAGAGAGACAATTCAAGGTCATCGCTTCCGCACAGCCATTTTAAGGCAAATATTCACGTGATGCATCTCCAACATTTGCTGCTGTCTTGAAAGATTTTAGGTGGGGTTCGGTAAAACAGGATAGACCGATATGGCGATTAGTACTGATCGGATGATTAGCGATTTCATCTGAATGTACTCTGCCTCTCTATCGTGCGTGTAACCAAGAGTAGATGAGCCTCATCGGGCCGCTGAACAAGCGTTTCGGGCTTTTTGTATCCGTATGCTTTACAAGGGGCCATCGCCTTGATATAAAAGGTAATGCTAGACAGAATGATCCAGTCAATTGGAAAATGAGTACAGACAATTACTTCACTAGAGAATAAATCATTTATAAAAAAGTAAGAATGACATACCTATCTATGAGGCAATTACCTATGGCTTATCTACTTTACCGGTCTTTATACACTTTCTGAGTTCTGTTTTCCAAAACATAACAGATTAGTTGATGGACTTTTTCACTTGGGAAATTCTGACTGACCAAATGTAGCTGCCAAATTGAGCTAGCAAATTTATTTATCCGCCACTCGGAAAAAGGAGATACCTCCAGTTTCGCTCCTTGAAACTCATCTTAAATTTCAGAACCCTTGAGATATAAATGAAGGCCCGTGACCCACACGAAATATTCCATCACAGTTTGATATAAATTATCTATCAACGAGGTAAAACATAAGGGGCTGTGTTTTGCTAGTGTGCAAAAATGCTCTCATTGCAGGTTTATTAGGTTTTTCCTGAAAGAAGCAAACCAGACGGCTTTTTACTGTCCTCATTTAGGTCAATTCATCTTCAAGCATGTTTGCAGGTAGACTATCTGGCTGCATTCTTTCACTTGCCTATTCCAATGGCATCCATATGGACTCAGGATCTCATTTCCGTTGACGCTACCATTTATGTACAACAACCTTTACAAGTCCAAGGGGAACATTCCAGTACAGCAAAATAGTGAACACGTAATATCTGACCACCAAGGAAAGCAAACTTAGAATGATTAGAAGAGAAGAGTGGGCAAAGGAGAGAACCTGGTCCTAGCCTATGGCAGGCATTGTGAGATGCTTAGACCTCCAAGCGCCCAGTTAGGCGATCTGGAAGAAAGCTAACAGCACGAACACAGCTTACAGTGATTTACTGTGATTTCCTACGATGTCCCCAGCCAAGCTCAGGAAGTCACGAAGAACCCACTCTGGAACGCAAGCTGTACAGGTAGTAAAAATATAATTAACCATTTATGCTGTTACGCTGGTCAGTAAGAACGCGATCTCTCCCAGCTGTTTGTCCAATCATCGTCATTCTTATCACCATCATTATCATTATCAGGTGTAAGAACCGCGTACTGTTCGTACAGTGGTTTCGTTCAGTTCACCGATGATTTGGGGAGGTGGGGTAGGCAGCTGCGTATTGAAGGTTGGAGCTGATAAGTTGGTGCGTAAATACAGGACTGTTAATTGGGGGGCGGGGCGGGAAAGGAACTGTGTTAAAGGCACTAACTTAGATGCGTCTGCGCCATTGAGGGCGCGACTAGGACATATCTGACATTGTGTTAAATCATTGATGTGGCTCGTCTTTGGGTGTCCATCCAGGAAGAAGGTAGTGACCAGCGCAGCTGAGTCTGCTGGTACTGGTTTTAATGCTTCACTACCAAGCCATTGTTTGACCACCCTGGCTCGTTTCCACCCTTAACGTGAGTGTGCGAAAAGAACCCTACGAGAGATTCGGTCGACTGGCATACGGAGCACGTGGCCGAGCCTGTGCTTGGATTCTTATAGGACAAGGATATATTCAGGCATACGGGCGTGTCATTTTCGTGAACTTTGATTAATAGGATTTATCTTGACTTGTGTCTCCTTCATATTAGAAATGTGTGCTCTGTTCCACAAAGAACTAATGGTAAAGTTGCTCGGGGTAGGATGTCAGCAAAGTAGAGTCACTTTATTTCCATGGTGTCACACAATGGACAGTGTTGCTAAGATGAATTTAGGCTGGTGAATCTGGGCGAATAGCAGAGGGAATTATTTCGGCAGCGTTGCTATTTGAAGAGATAGAAACTGTTCATCACATGGATCTTAAGGTTACATTCTTGCGGGAGAAATGAAAACTTTTTTCACAACGGACTTTGCTTGTAGTTTGGGTGCAAATGAGTATTTGAACGGGTCAGCCTCACAGAGATGAGGAGAAGGAAAACCAATGTCCAAAATCGGTATCAGGTTGTTATTGACACAGAATTGTTTATCGAAAACAGCTCACCAGAGAAATAATTAGACCAGTCACGTGATCGCTGCGATAACTGATGACTTGTTTAATACAAATGGTAGATTACATCCAACTGAAGCGGTCAGAATCCATCATTAAGTGACATTAAATCATAGACTATTCGCTAACGACTATCCGATTCCTTTGCTGCCGAAAGTCAACGTGTCGTCCTGGTATAACCCATGTTCACTTGAAGAGTAATTAAGGGATGCCTTTTAGTTTCAGTATAGTTTTGCGCTGCGGTGTTAGTAAAGTACCTTATCTGATTTTCAATATTCACTCGGGCGACGACAGACTTCCAGAAATTTTTTTCTGATTTTAATGAAACTCCACCAAAGTATTTTCTAAATATAGTAGCTATTTAGTTTTTGAAGAAAAAGAATCTTCTTCGCACTTACGAAAGGAAACTTAAGACAAGTTGCCATCCACTTGAAATTCCTCGGGCTAAAGTCTTCCATGTATTATAGTTTCAAATAAAAAATAAATACTTCTAACTGCTTAGAAATCCCGAGGCGTGTTTTCTAGGGACATAATTCTTCCGGTCCAGGGGTTATTGCTTTACTGTTAATGTTTCACTGACTTGACACCGCATCCTATCACCTGCACCTAAATTAAGGCCGCCTGAACATAGCTAACGGGGATATCAGCACCATTCTACACAAATGTGGTGAGTACAGCGAGTAGTGAGCCAGCATTGCATTGTACTACTGATTTCCAGTTTGGACATTTCGGTGACCGGTATAGTGCACAACTTAGACAGTATCAAAAGAAGGAAGATTTATTAGGAAGCTCTTGTGCAATTGGCCATTTGTTTTGAACTTTTATGTTATGTCGCATTTATTAGATAATTTTTGTTGTGGATATTGCGAAAGAAACCCAAATACCGAGCTGACGTAACATACTACTCGTAAGGTTGCTGAAAACTGTTTGATGGCTTCTTCTGTGACAACCTTTGTCTAACACTTTTATTCGAAGAAAATGATATCACGTCACAGTATAACATCATCTTCCGTTATCGCCAGAGCAGCTTACCTATTGTATAGTGCTGCCTATTGTATGGACGCGAAACCCTTCATCTTAAACACCTCAGCCTGCATTTGTGGAATTTGTATAAGTCATTTACGTAAAGTATTCAGTGGCAGACTCAGGCTATGACTGAATATCATCCCGTTAATCGATATGTAATTGGTCCCCCAAAAGTATGTCCATACCAGGCTTTTCGTTTCTAA